GGAGGGGGGGGCAAGCGCTCAGGGGCATGCCGTTCCCGGGCAGAGTTCAATGTTGGCAGTGATAGTGTTTATATCAATAGGAACAGCTAAAGCTGATAGATACGATGCCAAATTGGGAGTTGCACAACTTGGATTTGAAGTAATCATCTTTGAGGCTTGGGGATGAGACAGGTTTAATAACAGGGAATTGGGGATCTAATGCAAAGCGAAACAAGAATACCTGGGAGAGTTTTTCATAGGATCAATGGAAGCCTAAAACACGTTGTGGGCCATTTATAAAACGTAAAATTTTACCAAATAAATGCTTGATATAGGAAGATCACACACACACACACAAAAAAAAGATCACATTGGCAGTGAACATAATTCCTTTTCTGCTCATGGAGTATATTCACGGAGTCTGCTTTCAGTAGCATCTAAGCTGAAGGGTATTTGCTGGTAATTTAATTTATTCAATGTGCAGGAATCCGTCTGTGTTGGCAGTATTCTGAGACATTGATTCATTCTAACTTCCCTGTTTTTGAGTTTCAACATGGATAAAGCTGATTTATATCGCGCGCGTGTGTGTGTGTGTATGTGTGTGTGTGTGTGTGTGTGTGTGTGTGTGTGTTGGAAGAGATTAATGAGCTTCATAGTTAATTCTTTTAAACTACTGCTTGTGCCTGGGTGAGCTTGGTCCCCTGTAAAGAGGAAGGCCGTCGGCAGATGAGCTGCACAGGAGCAGCAGCAGTGGCTCCAACACCGTGGTGAGGACACGCAGGCCTGGGCAGGGTTTCCTTGGGCTGTGCGTGTGCGTGGGCTGCTGCAGGTTGGACCCACCTGACACTCCCGTCGTCTTGGGCCTCAGTGCTTTCTAGAAACCTCCATCTTGTGTGTCAGGTTAGGCGTCGGGCTAGGAGAACCCTGATTTCATGAGGAAATAGTGGGAGGAAGAAACTGCTTAAGACTTTAAAATTGACAGTTGCGACAGTAAATTCATTTCAGTTTGTTAACAGAATTCAGGTTGTGATCACAGCTAAGCTTACGGCCTTATGGTGAATGTTGGGCAGGTCGGGTACTGGTCATTTGAGGAGAATAATGTTTAATCTTTCTGCGGGTTGGGTTTTAGTGCTTGTTGTACTGTTCGCTTTGTTAGCGCGGCTCACAAGTTCTTGAACGTGAACATGATCCTCACAGGCTGTGTGGAGCTGCTCATGAAGAGGAAAATGTGCAGAGTAGCATGCAGTTGATTTGAATGATCTCATCTGGCAAGACATTGACAGAACGGGGTAGGCATGGGTGGTGGAGTTAAACAAGAGGAGCTTGGACTAAATTTTAAGTGGTTTGTTGAGCAGGTATTTTCTCATTTGTGCTTTTTTCTGTGTATAACTTCATTGCTGCAGGGGTTCATTGACAGTCCTGGACTCGGATAAGAGGATCCTGTTCTCCTCGGTGGGTCGGTCAGTTGTTGTGCGGTGCACTGGAGTGGATTCTGACTCACAGCAACCCTGTGTACCACAGCAGGGAACACCACCGGCCCTGCCCCAGCCACTGTCAGTCCGTCACATTGCGGGCCTTCCTCTCCCGCCCGCTCTCTTTCACCCACCGTGACAACCTGTCCAAAGTACTTACACGGCATATTCTGGCTGTCCTTCTCCCTGAACACATTTGCGGGTTCTTTTGGCAATCTGGTACTCTGAATATTCTCTGCCGGCCAGCACCCGAATGCCATTGTTTCAGTTCTTCTTGGGCCTTTCTTCTTCAGTGTCCGGCTTTCGTGTGCAGAGGAAGTGACTGAAAGTATCATCACGCTGTCAGGTGCACTTGAGAACGGGAAATAATTAAAATTAAAATGACAAAACCACACAGGGAAACCACTTTCCAATTCTAATATTGTAGGGAAAGTTGCATGTGTCTCAAAGTTCACTCATTGTTTAAGCGTCTCGTGTTTTCAGGAATAGCATCAAGGTTCTAGCCATGGTGTAGGCTGAATACTTGGGAAGTGAACCTGAGCATTGACTTAACATCATGCCTGGTTTGGTCCATCTTTTTTAGTGGTGGTTTTTTAAAAAAAGAAATGCGTATTGCTTAGTTATCTTGGGGGATTCCTTATAAAATTTACTGGTTTAAAAGTAATTTTTCTATCATTCCTCACCCCAGCCAACTCTCTTATCTGCTTCACTTTGATTTGCTACTTTCAAAATAGGGACATTTTCTATTTCTTCTAGAAAGCACAATTTGTCGTTTAAACAGCATGACTTCTTCCTATTGAGTCTATTTTACTGAAAGCTATTGGTCTAAATACATAGCTCTACTTCTAGTGTGAGTAAATATGCTTCTCAGCGTTTAAGCTAAGGTTAAGTCACTATTTGCCATCCTAAATAGGATTAAAAGCAAACTTTTAGAAAGCATTGATACATGAGGGCGAGTCAGAAAATATTGCTACTAGGTAGGGTTTAGTTCATTCGTCATGCAAATATGAGTTCCTTCCAAACAAAAAAATGTTAAAACGTGATAAATGATTGGCTACAAATAAATTCTCTCAGCACAGCGCTGGCTTTAGACTCATTAGGGTGCTTTCAAGAACACTGACTTCTGAGGCGATCTGCTGGACCAGACACAGGTCAACTCAGAAAGTTTTGTCAACTATTTTTTTAAGATTCCATAGTGTAATCTCTGGGGAAAACAACCCCTTTGTTCTAAACTCGGTGATGGTTCACAGAGCAGATCGCTCTGTGTCATGTCGGTAATCGCAGTCCCTGCGGTGTGCTACCACATCCGTTCCCTCTGCCTCTCTCGCTCACATCGCCCACGTCTGTAAGCAGGCTCATAGAGTGCACGGGGTGGACCCTGTGTGTTGCATAGACCTTTGGGTTTTGACACGCATCATCTCGTTTCCACCATTCAGTGTCACGGAGATTAGTTTCAGTAAGTATTCCACTTCACGGATATGGACTGTCTTTCCACTTATTTAGAGCCCTCGCTCAATGACAGTTTCTCGTTTTCAGTGTGCACATTTTGTCCTTTGTGTTAACTTTATGTCTGACTTTATCCACATACTGGATACTCACAGCTGGAGCTTCCCTGTGTATTTTAGGTCCGTCATCACTAGGACAGAGACAAAGTCGGATTTTGTTGGTTGTGCTTGCTTCTCGCAGCTTTGAATTCATTCATTCATTCTAGTGCATTAATTCTTAGGCTTTCCTCTGTTCAAAGTCATGTTATCTACACACCAACTTCTTCCCATCTAATCGGGATGCCTTTGATTGCGGTTTCTCGCCTGTCCCTACTAGAATGCTGATTAGAAGTGTGAGAGAGGACAGATGGCCTTTTCTTATTTCTGATTTGAGAGGGGACACATCTTTCACCACGAAGTATGGTGTTAAGTGGAGGTTATTTGATGAGTAAGCTGATGGTTTGCTTCGTCTGCCAAGTGTGCTGGGTTTTGTGTGGGCTTGTTTCAGTCACCGAGTGGGGGTTGGGTCTTTTCAGATGCTGCCTCTCCTCTCTTTTGTGACACTTGCATGGTTTCTGTTCTTCACCGTTTCATGGATGTGTTGCATTTTGTCTGGTGAGCCAACCTTGCATTCCTGGGATAAATCCAACTTGGTCATGGTGTAGGATCCTTTTTATATGATGTTTGAGTCTGTGCCTGCCCCTCAACTCAGGGATGTGTGATCCCAGTGCAGTCATGTGACAGTGCTGGGCCTCAGCTTGCTTGGCTGAAAGGGCCCAAGCAGGTTTGGCATAATTAGGGGCCTTACAACCTTGGGGGATGTAGACCACCAACCTGGAAAACATCTAGCCCGTCCAGCCGGCATAACAAGCATTTGGAGTTTCAAACTTGTTTTTAATGTCTTTTTTACCATAGTGATATAGTTTATTTATCAGCATGAAAAGCTGTAGGAATGTTTCCAAAGTTTTAATAATGTGTTATTTTTTTAAAAAAACGTTTTCAGGAAGGCCCAACTCTAAAGACTGAAAGAAAGAGATGAATTTATCTATGATAAGCCCTTTTTCCCCTCCTCCCGCCCCACTTCTAGATGGATGGAAAGGGTGCCCTGGGAGTGGCAGCGTACTACATAGCATTCGCTCCCCCACAGCGACCCTGCATAATAAAGGAAAGTCAGTTTAGCCTTAGACCTGAGGGGGGAGCCCCTAGGAGTGTGGCTTTATTGAGAGTGGCCTCCTTTATGAAGAGTAACAGGAACTAAAAGTTCCCCCGAGTTTATCTGTGGTTTCTTCTCCTAGCTGCTCCCTCAGATTAGAGCCCAGTTGGGTTTAAGTGGTGGATTGAAGGCCCTTTGGCACACTGAGGAGCCCTCCTGGGCTCAGGCGTGTCTATTTGATCCCCACTGTGGCTCTGTGGCCATGGGCTCAGGGCAAACTTGGGTTTTGTGGATTCCTTACTATTAATAAGTATTATATAATAGTGCAGCACTTTTTTTTTAACTCTTAATGTCTATGGCATTGTTTTTATCTGCAATTAGAAGAAAGTAACTTTTAGGTAATCTTAAGGATATCTTGCTTTGTAGGAAATGTTTTATGATAACCAGCTTAGGGTATAGTTTCTTTGAGGTTTTTGTTCATTGTTTAAAGTCGTTTCTCAACAATTTTTAAATTGATGGTGATTTGTAGGTGTATTTTTATCCCTGGAGCATCACTTCCTGTATGAAGGCCCACACCCCCTAGTGATTTTCCCCCAGTCACCCTTTGTTTGGGACTTGAAGTCAGCTGGGCTTAAGGCGTTTAACAATCTCGTACAGCAAGAAGGACTAGGATATTCAGGTCGTAGATTTGAATGAAACAACAGATCATGGTTTGAAAAATAGAAATCGGTGCTGCAGGTGTTACCAAATACACAACCTTGGGTAGATTTAAAACTCAGCTTATGAAGTTAGTGCTCCTTTAATATTCTAGGTTTGGATGTCACCTTATCTAGTAAGCTTTTTAACTTTGCAGGCGGAGCACCTCCACACGAGCACAGTGGTGTCTAACTCCATGTCTGTGTCTGTTTCCAGTTGTCGACCTCCTCTACTGGAGAGACATCAAGAAGACTGGCGTGGTGTTTGGCGCCAGCTTGTTCCTGCTGCTCTCGCTGACGGTGTTCAGCATTGTCAGCGTGACGGCCTACATTGCCCTGGCGCTTCTCTCGGTGACCATCTGCTTTAGGATCTATAAGGGCGTGATCCAAGCCGTCCAGAAGTCAGATGAAGGTCACCCGTTCAGGTGAGATACGCTGCCGGCTATCGAGGGGGGTGTCAACAGGAATGGGATGGCGACTAACCTCCAGTACAGAGAGCCCTACTGGCATGCAGTTTGGGTCCTTGAATTGCAAGCACATTTTTACTAAAAAGCTATTTGTATCACTGAAGCATCTCAAGTACCATATGAAGTTTGGGGCTTGACGTCTGTCAGGCTTGAGATGTTCAATAATCAGGGGTCAGTAAACCACAGGCCATGGGCCAAATCCTGTCCATGACCTGCTTTATAAATCACGTTTTATTGGCACCTAGCCGGGCCCCTATCGTTGAAGCGTTTGCTTCTGAGGTCTACCAGAGGCCGTGGTGAAGACGGAGGTGCTCATTAGCCCAGCTCTTTGACGTGTTGGGAGCATGTGTTTCTTAAAGTTTCATGCAATGGAAATTGTCTTTGTCAGCATGGTCCTCCGTTTCCCACACCCGTCCTATGCTCTCTGATGGCTCACGCGCTCCGATACGGAAATCAAACCCTTCTCTCTCTAATAGCCTTCCTGTTTCCGCATGCTTCCCTTTCACACCCAAGTCTTTTCTTAGAATTGCTTCTTAATTTAGTTTCCTTTTCTCGTTCCCTGTTCCTTTGCTTAAACCGTTTCCTGGCATCTCCTACTCTGAGCTGTTGTCGTCTGTCCTCTCCGCATGGCTTTCCTCCCTATAGAGAACTCACACTGTAACTAACATTCAGCCTTTGAAGGGACACAAATCTGTGTTTTCTAATATATTCATAGAGTTGTACCACTATCACCACTAATTCCAGAAGATTTTATCACCCCAGATAGAAATTCCATTAGCAGTCACTTCCCTTGACAACCGCCTCCCACCCACCCCCCACCCAGTAATCACAAACACATCATATATTTAAATGAACTCTTCTTTCAAACCTGTCTTTCTATCAGTAACACAGCTCTCCTCCTGGCTTTGATGCCATCTTTGTTTTTATTTCATGTTTTTAAAAAAAAGATCACTGAAACTTAACATTCTTTACTGCCTCCTCAGTCTAGACCAGGAGTCAGTAA